GGCAAGAGCGACCAGGAAAAGGACTACGAAATTTACCTCTTTGAGTGCATTCTCCTCTGCTGCAAGGAGATTACACCCAACAAGAGCAAGGACAAGAAGGACAAGACCAAGTCCACGGGACCCAAGATCCGGAACAAGAATGCCAAGCTGCAGCTTAAGGGGCGCATCTTTATGACCAACGTCACCGAAGTCCTTTTCTTCTCCCGGCCGGGGTCCTACACCGTCCAAATCTGGTGGAAGGGCGACCCGGGCGTCGAGAACTTTGTCATCAAGTTCCAAAACGAAGAGTCCATGAAGAAATGGGCGGCGGGCCTCGACACGCAGCGCAAGCTCAACGCGCCGCGGCCCGACCAGAGCCCCGAACAGCCGGCACCGAGCTTTGCATGGATGCAGACCTCCGCCGGTGGTGTGGCCGCCATCGAGAACCCTTACGCCGAAGACCCCGACGAAGATGACGACTACCTCGTCATGAACCAACAAGCACAACAGCAGCAGATACTGCAGCAGCAGCAGCAACAACAGTTCAATGGCCAACCACTCCGTACACGGTCGATCACAGCCGAAAGCGCCCAGTCCCTCGCCGGCATGATGCGCCAACCACCACCAAGCTTCCCGTTGCCCATGCTCCCTGGCCAGCTCAGCGTGCAGACACAGCAGCTGCCCGCGCAGCAGGCGTCGTCGCCCAGCTTGCGCGGGGGCGAGTCCTACTTCTCGCCCGTGGCCGAATCGCCCGTATCGTCGCGCACGAGCACAACGTCGGGCTTCTTCCCGCCCGGCGCTGGCTATGCCTTCCCCAAGGTCGGCACACCGCAGCCCGGCGGCTGGGACGGCGAGACAAACCGCTACACAGCACCAGCCATGCCTCGCGCACCATCACGCGACGGACCCTCGCCCTCCAACGCGTACGGTATGGTCAACGGTGGCCCTGGGGGCGGTGGCGGCCGCAACCCACGCGGCCCGTCGATGCCAGTCATGTCGCAGAACCCGCAGACCCTGTCGCAACAGCAACGCAGCCGCAGCTACAGCACCCCCGACATCCAGAACCAGCCGGCGCGGAGGACACCCGGAGGCAGCCAGGGCAACATTCCCGCGGTGCCTGGCATCCCGCCACACCTGCACCCGACGCATGAGCGGCACGACTCGACCATCCCGCGGTCCAACACGGGCAGCCCACGCAACGACCTGCCGATCCGCACCAGTACGCAGAGCCCTGGTGTGCAGGCCAGCCGCCTGCAGCAGCAGCAGCAGCAGCAGCTGACCGCCTCGTACGGCGCCACCATGGCGCAGTTTCCCACGCAGCCCGTCTACCCACGCCAGACAACGCCCGGACCGACGAGTGCGCCACCGCAGCACCAGCACCAGCACCAACCGTCGCTGCCAAACGACATGGGCGCGGCATCGCCGCCGCTCGGCACCGGCACCCCCGGCATAGGCACATCGGGCATGGTGGGCAGCTCGGACCTGCCGATCCCGACGCAGCTGAAAGTCAAGGTCAACTACGACACGTCCAACTACATGACGCTGGTGGTGGCGTTCAACATCACGTACCAGTCGCTGGTGGACCGGATCGACGCGAAGCTGGCGCGGTTTACCAACAGCAGCATCGGCAAGGGCAACCTGAAGCTGCGGTACCAGGACGAGGACGGCGACTTTGTGAGCATCGAGAGCGACGACGACATACAGATTGCGTTTATGGAGTGGCGCGACGGCGTACGCAACATGTACAATGCGGGTGTCGGAGAGATTGAGCTGTTCTGCGTCGGCGACGGCCTATAGGCGGCCGGCAACCTTGTCTTGTTTGCGATTGTCTTTCTTTCTCTCGTCTTCTCATTCCCATTTTCTGGTTTTTCTGGTTTTACAAGATAAACTTTTTTGTCGTTTTTTTTTAACAGCATCGAAGGCGCATCCGGATTTCTTTCCTTTTACATTACCCGATTATTTCCTTCTTCTGTCCATAACTATTCTACTTGCTTCTTTCACTTCTCTTGCGTTCTCCTCATCCCTCTTTTCTCTTCCGGCCATTCTCCCACCGAAATGAAGCAGCATTTTTGTTTTCTTTTTTCTTCGTCTACAGCATGCACTGCCTACTGCCGTTCCTTTCATCTTTCATTTTCCACATGCTAGTGTCCACTTGCCCTCGATCCTTGTTTCACTCTCATATACACAAGACGTTCTTATCGTTCCTTATCGGCGCCGTGGAGTTCTCTCTCATTTCTCTCCTCTTTTTTCTATGCAGCCTACGCGCATGTCGACAACAAGCTGCTCTTGTTAAGCGGCTCGGGTGCCTCTGTTTTCGATTTGTTGTGAATCTCAATTATTTAGTCATTGCTTTTTTGCGTTCCTGAATTGAATAGTTTACCACCTTTAGTAACGTAATATGCCAAATGCTGGCGCTCAATCTGTGAACCGTGTCACATGACGTAGTTTTGCTATCTTTTGCTAGATGTTGATCGTCTGCGAAACGGGCAGAGGTCCTGTTTTGTTGTATTACATCGTAACGTGCCCTGAAAGAAGAAGCGGGCGCTAAAAATGAACGCAACCAATTAGCCAGCATGTGCCTGTCTGCATGATTTTGAGCAGTGGTACCGCCAATGCATCACTCCTTTTCCCACGCCGCGTTTACACCGAAAAACGATTGTTTCGAGACATCACCAAACGCGACACAGCAATTGTGCACCACAACCACGACCACCACAACTCTACCGTGTCGATTCCTCTGAACTTGCCGGCCGGACCTATTACCCCGAATTCGAAGTTACACCATATTGAACCATTGCGACGTTGGATCTTCTTTTCTGACAACTGTTTCTTGACCCCACAAGCACCAACCAAACTATGGCCAGCCTCGACACCGAGAGGCTCAGCCTCGCATTTCAATCGCGGCCCGACCTCGTCGAGCAGATCCGGGCCGCCGCGGCCAAGTCGCCGGCGCACACGCCGCTCTTCAACAGCATCGCCGGCTACGTGTACGAGCAAGTGCATGGCGGGGGCGAGCCGGCGCACAAGCGGCGACGCGTGGAGGCGGAGGGCGAGGCGGAGGGCGAGGCGAACCGACACAGTCACAGTGCGCTGCCGGCGCGTCAAGGGACGGCAGCAATGGCACCACAGAACGGAAGCACCGGCAGCGGAGGCGCAGGAAGAGAAACCGACTTGCTCAGCGCTGCCGCGGCGGAGACGGTGCTGCTCGAGGTCAAGGACATTTCGGTGTCGATCCCGCAGCGCAAAAAGTACGACCTGTGCTTTACCAAGAACTACCTGTATGCGCGGGCCGCCAAGACGACGACGCCCGTGCCCGGCATCGTCTACGCCTGGACGGATTTTGGTAGGTTCCCCCGAACCCACACGTGTAGAGTGCCCGTTTGTAATCAGGAGCTAACGTGCCGCAGAATACGTCTTCTACCTCCCAGTGCCCGAAAAGACGCAGGTGCAGTACAACTACATCCTCTTCCCGCGCCACGCGGCGCTCGCGTCGCTCTCGAAACCGACGCCAGCAGCCGCAGCCGCAGCCGCAGCCGCGGCACCCACAACCCCTCCTCCTCCTCCCGCGGCCGAGCCGCTTGTCTTTACGGTGCCCGCCACCGCACCAAAGCCGGGCCAGGTCGGCGGACCCTCGGCCGGCCTCGCGGCCCCCGTGTCCGACTCGTACACGACGCTCTTCCACTGGGCCATTGAGGGCCAGCTGCGGTCCGCCGAGAACGTGTATCTGGCGCGGCAGCGCACCATCATCGTGGCCGCCGACCCCAACGTGTTCCACAGCGCCGCGCGCCAGCCATTCCGCCCGGCCGAGAAGGCTGTGCACGTGCGCGCCTTCCGCGGCAGCAAGGACGGCTACCTGTTCTTCCTGCCGACCGGCATCCTCTGGGGCTTCAAGAAACCGCTGCTGTTCTTGCCACTCGACCGCATCGTCGCCGTCAGCTACACCAACGTGCTGCAGCGGACCTTCAACATTGTGGTTGAGGTGGACGTGGGGGCGGGTACGGGCGCCGACGACAACGAGGAAGTCGAGTTTGGCATGCTGGACCAGGAAGACTACGGTGGCATCAGCGAGACGTACGTCCAGCGGCACAACCTGCAAGACCGCAGCATGGCAGAGCGGCGCAAGGCGAAGCGGGAGCTGGCCGAGAACGCGCGGGGCGACAAGACGGCCAACGGCGAGGGCGGCGCCGACGGTGGCGCGGCCGGTGCCAACGGAGACGGCGTGCCGGACGATGGGCTGACGGAGCTGCAGCGCGCCGAGCAGCAGCTACAGGACGAAGAGGACGAGGACGAGGAGGACTACGATCCGGGTAGCGACGGGGACAGCGACGGGTCTGGGAGCAGCGACGAAGAGGGCACCGAGGATGGCGACGAAGGGGAAGGGGAAGAGGACGAGGGTGATGACGGCGATGACGACGAAGAAGGCGAGGAGGGCGAGGAGGGCGAGGAGGGCGATGAGGAGTGACGGAGGAGGAAAGGTGCAATGGCAATAAACAAGCATGTCTGCCATCACTATCGTGCATCGTTCATCGTTGGATTTCGGCATGATTTTTTGGGTTTTAATGTCAGTTCATGTTCTGTATACTAGTGTCGCTTTATGTTACAATGGCTCATTGGCGTTTTCATGGGATTATATGGTATTAAATATGTGTCCTACATTAGACTCGCAGGTTGCTATGCGTTTTTATTTGGCGCTCTATTTCCTTTGTTTTATTTATTTATGTTTTGATTTTATTAAAAACAAATCGAAATAATAAATTAAATAAACGGTGCTTTTCCTTTGCGCTCCCCCATAAACAACATAATTCCTCGAGAAAGTCTGACCAAAGACCTGGTAACCTCCTCGAGTTTGTCGGACCACCTCCAAATACTATGCTCCATACAACTCTGGCAAAATAAACACACTGGATGCCGAGTGATGCGTTTTGGACGTATGCGTTGTCGTCTTTGTACAGTCGTCCTCACTGCTCGTCGTGCTTGACGACGACGATGTTGTCGTTGGATACGGTGGCAGACGTGACGTCTCACTCGGGCGCACAATGGAGTGGAAGCTGCGAATGCTCCGCGAGTGGTGCTGGCACCGTGTCGTCGATTCGGTGGCAAAGCTGGGGGGCCACGACGTGATGCTGTCGAGCGATGTAGAGGGACAGGGCGTGGAAGACGACGAGGACGACGACAAGGACGACGGCAGCTTCGGCCACGGCGGACTGTGGACGGGCGTCAGACGGCCATAGGAGTAGCTCGCCGGCGTGGGCACCGGCGACGACCAGGACACCCAGTAGGTGGTGCTGCTGCTGGTGTCGTTGCTGGAGACGGAGCTGGAGCTGGAGTTGGAGCTGAGGCTGGAGCTGCAGCGCGTCGTGGATGTGGGCGTGGTGCAGGACGACGTCGTCGTTGTCTTCGTACAGGTGTCAGTGGGCGCCGATGCTGTCAGGTTGCAGACAGTGTAAAAGGTGCAGCTGACGGCGTGGAGGGTTGTGCAGGAGGAGGACGGAAACGACGACAACTCCCGAGTCGATGTCGTCGACGACGTCGTTCTCTGCTGCTGCTGCCGCCTGTTGCCGAGAATGGACATGATAGGATCCGGGCAGTACCGGACAATGGAGCAGACGGCATCTGGGTTGCGGGGAACGTGGCTCTCTAGCTGATTGTCGTCCGGAGAGTCTTGCTCTTGTTCGTGATGATGGTGTTGGATGAGGCCGGGCCTCTGAGCCAGAGCCAAGGGGCATAACGGGGCGAGGAGGGCGAGCAGGAGGGCCGCCCTGAGGACACCGTGATGGACAGAAAGACGCGTCATTGTGCGGAGATACAGCAGACAAACGTGTGGACGCATGGAAGAAGGAGGAGAACCTTGTCTTGGGCTATAGACACTTCCAAGCAGCCGGCCAGGAGGCAAGTCTGGGAGAGATAAGCGTTATTTTATATTGATGCATCGTGCTCTCTGTATAGTTGAAGCCATCACAAGTCTATTCTTGGCCGTCCGTCGCAGAAGCAAAAATGGTACCAAGATGGTTTGCCCTACATGAAAGCAGGCACAAGACAGCACAAATCATGATGTTGAGAGCTGCGCAGTAACACAGACAACTTTTCGTCGTGAACAAGAGACAAGCTTACATGGCATTGGAGAACGGAGACAACACCGCCCGAAGCGCAAACGAGAAATCGAATATTATGTGCATCCTCAACAATGGTTTGTGACAGTGTAGCGTCTAACAAGGACATTGTACCTAGCACACAATGGTCACCTCCGCTGTGCTGGCTGTATTTCGGGCCTATTTTAGAGTAAAATGTGTTCCGGCAACCTGGCTGTGCGTCTTCGACCTTTGTTATGTACATCAGACCAGCTGCAAGCAGCCTTACATGTTGTCTGTAGCTGTGTCAGTGTAGCCATGGATAGCCCAAGGTGGGTAAAACTGGCGACTTCATTGGAAGCCAGGATATCAGGATATTAACGGCAAATCCTAGAGAACTGTAGTGTATCAAAGCAATAGTTCTGCTTAAATCCAAGTCTATACAGAACAACTTCTTTATCAAAACATTGAAAGTTATTATTACTACTATTATCATTATGAAACAAAAGAGTGCGAAAACGATCCCTTGTTACCCCCCCCTCCATTTTTCTTTATTTTCGCATGTTTTTTTTTGTCCGTTCCCTGCCCCTCCTACTCAATCTTCCATTGCGATTCGTTGCGCAGCCACGTCTCAAAGGACGACACGCCCGGCACCTCGCCCTGGCGCGCGGCAATGTCCACGCCGTAGCCCTCCTCGTCGAACCACGTGAACATGGTCTTGATGTCGGGCACCAGCAGCAAGACCAGCTTGCCCACGATCCACAGGGCCCAGGGCGTCGGATGGCCGACCACGCGCTGGAAGATGGCGCGGGCCTCGCCCAGCGTCAGGTTGTCGCCGGCCAGGCCAATGGCCCGGTTGGCGTAGGGCGAGACGGCGGTGCCGTCGGCCTGGTCGGCGAGGGCGGCCTCGATGGACTTGGCGGCCCAGCGGCCAATGTCGCTGGTGGCGACGAGCTGCAGCTTGGTGGACGGCTTCATCGTGATGGACAGCATGCTCACAAAGGCGCCGGCCACAAAGTAGCCCGGGTTGTAGTTGTCCATGAAGGCGACGGGGCGCAGGATGGTCCACGTCACTGGTTTGTTGCTGTTGTTAGGACCCGCCTGCGTCGCTTTCTTGACCGCGTCGCGCAGATGCAGCTCAATGGTGAGCTTCTCGGCAAAGTGCTTGATGTGTGTGGGGTTCGACCACGAGCGCTCGTCGCCGCCGCGGTCGACGCTCGAGTAGACAATGTGGCGGACGCCGTGGGCGAGCGCGGCGTCGATAAACGGAATGGCCTGGGGCTCTTCCTTGGGCGGGACGGTGATCAAGAAGAGGGCCGAAATGGATCCCTCCGGCAGCTGGGCGAAGATGGCGTCGGGCTTGAGCTGGTCGCCCTGGACGAGGCGAAGACGCGGGTCGGACGCAGCTAGAGCCTGGGCCCGGGGTGTCGACGCATCACGGGTCAGGGCGTGCACGACGAGGCTGGCGTCTTCGCTATGGAGCAGGGACTTGACGACGGCGGCGCCCTGTTTGCCTGTGGCGCCGACGACAAGGACGGAGTGGGCCATTGTATAGTTGGGAGAGTCAGATTTTATAATTGGTTGTGAGATGAGTCTGTTGGCTGGTTCAAGGGTCAAAGACTGTGTCCAAGATGTGAATATGTAATTGATGTGTCGAAAACGACAATATATTATGAGATGCTGTAACTTGTGCTTGTTGATGTTGATGTTGATGTCCGATACTCTCTCTCTCCTCTGAACGACGAGCGGACGACGGCAGTTTTATACCCGGCGACGTCTGCTTCATTGACGTCAATGTACAGAATTCATACAAAGGGCTACGTGCTGTTGGTTGTTAGTTTGAGCCGCGTCGGACGTAGATTGCGCAATAGGCATAGCACACGTGATCCACCGTCTCGTCGACCGCCGAGATCTACAAACACAGGAAAGACAACAAACTTGTCGATGCATTGCAAAGCAAAACAAAAAAAGGAAAGACGGACGCAGAATAGAAAGGTCAAGGATTACCTCATGCAACGTTGTGTCGAATCTCAGTGCTTAGGTCATCGCTGGACGGAGTTTGCCCTTTATTTCCATGCACCGCCGTGTCGTCGGAGGAATGCGCATCGAGTTGTGTGGCTGGTGTGTGTTGCTGTAATTTAGCGGCGGCGCTATGCTTCAGCTCTGGCGCGCCGTGATATTGTTAAGCAGATGTGTGGCCCGTTTTAGAGCGGCCCTCCACCTGCCATTGCGCCGCGCGAGTCGGAGCAACTCTCTACAACTTGCATCAGCATCTTAATCGGACGTTGTCGAGCAGTGACGTCAGTGTCGCTTTTCGGAAAATAGAAAAGAAGTGTTATTATCCAAAGGAGTAGAAGCAGATAGATGGTGAGTAGAATAAAAAAATACCAAGTGTAAAAACAAGAAGACAGAAAAAAGTAAAAAAAGACACAAAACGGTTGCATGCGCAAAGGTATGTATGATGCCAAAAGAATCAAAAGGGCTCCAAGCTCAAAAATACACCGGTTACACGGCCGGCCCATGCACCTTACAGCGCCGGCCCTTCCCAGCCGTCGCGGTGCAGCCGTCCAAACCACGACTGCTTGTGCCGGAACGTAATCTCACGCTGCTTGTTGAAGCCCGCCGCCTGCAGGTGCGCAATGAACCGCTCGTTGTCGACGCGCGGCTCCATGCACACGCTCATGCACCGGTAGTCGCTCGTAAACAGCCACTGCACGACGCTCGTGAGCCACAGCGCCACACGGCCGCGCGCCCACTCCTCGCCCACAAAGACGTGCAGGCCGCGGTCAAAGTCGTCGGCCTGGGCGCCAATTAGCAGGCCCAAGGTGTCCTCCTTGACCCAGTACAGCTCAAAGTAGCCAAAGGGGACGCCGTCCCAGAGGCCGATGACGGGGAACGAGTGGCGGCTGGCGAGGGCGGTGCGCAAAAAGGCGGGCGAGTAGTCGCCCCAGAACTTGTGGACGCGCGGCACGGCCATCCAGGTCTGGAGGAGGGCGTCGTCGGAGAGGGTGGCCAGGAGGGCGGCGCGGTCGGCAGGGGGCGCCGACGACGCGCCTGTGCCCGGTGACGCTCTCGGTCCGTAGTACGGCACCGGGTGCGGCGACAGCGAGGCCACGCGCAACGACAGGAACTGCTGGACCGACGGGATGTAGCGGTTGTAAAAGACCTCGCCCATGCGCGGCGGACGTGGGCGGGCCGGGTGGCGCACATTGCCGGTCATGGTGTAGCGCAGCGGGCTCGGCGGGTAGTAGGTGGGCAGGTGGGAGGTGGAGTAAAACGGGCCCATGGGGAAGCTCTGGACGGACGCGAGCATGGGCGGCGTGGGGGTGGCCGACTGGCTGCCGGGGAGGGAGGTGACGGCGTACGGAGCAGCCACCGGCACGGCTGTGTTGGTCGCGACGGTGGACAAGGATAGGCTGTCGGCCAGCTCGGCGGCCTCGCCGATGCCAAGTGTTTGCGGCGTTGCCTTCCTCGCATCGCCCAACTCGGGCGAACCAGGCGAGGACGGCCGGCTGGCCATGGGCGACCCAGGGAACGACGACAGGTTGCCGCCGCTCAGTCCGCGATGGTGGTCGTGCGGCTTGACGGGCTGCAGAGAGAAGAGGAACAGCTGCGGCGGGATCTGCCAAAACATGCTGCGCGTGACATACATGTGGTCCCATCCGTCGTCGTCGCCAAACGTGGCCCGGGGCGTGTCGCTGCCGCCCGGCCCACCACCACCACTGCCGTTCGTGGTGCTGCCGCAGACGACCGACGACTCCAGCGTCACAATCAGCCCCATCCGCTCCAGCTTCGGAATCAGGTTCCGCACCCGCAGCATGCCGTCCCGCTTCACCCGGATCCGCCACTCGCCCCGCGGCCGCCCATCCAGCGGCGTCCCGCTCGAGTGTGCCGTCGGCGGCAGCAGCACATCCGGCGCCGGCTGCTGGAAGTACCAGTAGAGCGACACCCACAGCATCATGGCGGCCAGGCGCGTCGGGCTGGCGGCCGGCTTGAACTCGGCGCTGCTGGGCTGGTTGACGGAGGAGAGAAAGAGCGAGTCGCCCTGCAGCGTGGGGCGCGAAAAGGCGTGCACGCCGCGGCCGTGCGCACCGGCCGAGCCTGACGGCGTGCCGCCCTCGTCGCCATCGTCGGTATGGAGAACGATTGTCCACCCGACTGGATAGGGCGAGTGGTGCGGGTTGAGCTCGTTGGACTTGAAGAGGAGGCCGGCAAAGACAGGCACGACGGTGAAGTGCTGCCCGTCCGGCAGGTAGACCGTGGAGTTGACCATGGCCGGCGGGGTGCTGGCGGTGTGGACAGCGCGTGTGTGTGGACGGTGTTGCCAATCGAGAGGTTGTTGACAAGAGTTGAGAGAGTCGAGCGAGCAAAACGTTGCAAATCGTTGATGTCCCTCGTAGCGAAAAGCAGCCCCACCCTTGACTCTGTAGCTCTGCGTGCCGGCTTGGGAAAGTGCATTCGGCAGTCGCCGCCAGATCGTACGATATCGGCAAGTACGTCGGTACCTCGTAGACCTGGAGAATGCGGTACACCGGAGAAGATAGTGGAATGTACCGTCCAAAGCGAGGCCAGCTGTCACCAAATCACTGCAGACGTCTCCCTCTTGGTTCATGAAAGTAGAAGCGGCGAAAGCACAACAGAGCGATAACACCACTTCATCTACTTCCAGCTGCTTGTCACCCGCCTGCGAAAGTGGGGCCACTAATTCGTACGTGTGTCGCCCTTTAAAGCTGTTCGAGCTCCTTCCCCTCTGTTGCACATGCTTTATTTAGTTGGGGCAAGCACGGCTAGCGTTGCCCATCTCCAGATCTCACGGGAGCGGGGTCCTTCCATGTTTGCTCAGCCTTGTGGACGGCAGGCATTCACAATAGTGGGCGTAGTGGGTGTAGTGGGCGTGGCCGGCCCTAACGCTAGAAACCGTCCCACGATTGCCGCAATGGACTGACGGCCAGGGGCTGGAGCACACCACACAGACACACCACATCGGCACCGCCGAAACACGGCGACCAACAGGACTGCGTTTGGCGGATCGTCACGATCGATCTCGAGATCTCGAGCAACTCCAAGTCATGATATTCGCCGAGTATGTACATCAAAGATTGTCCGACAGTCCATCACCACCTCCCTCCCCTACTTCTTTTCCTTGTCCTTGGCCTCCATCTCCTCATCCTCCACTTCCTCCGCCTCGGCCTCTTCTGCCTCCTCACGCTCCTTCTTGGCCTTCTCTCGCTTCACCTCCTTCTCGAGCACCTTTTTGACCTTGGCACCGCCGAGATCCTGTGCTTCGTCCCAGTCCACATCGTACTCGTACGCCGCGCTGCGGATCTCCGCCCGCAGGCCGTTGGCCTCCTCGACCAGCCGCTCCCAGCGCCGCACGTCGAACCCGCGACTCTCGTACAGCGCCGTCTGCTGCCGCGACACCGTCACGTTCATGGCCGCCTTGTAGCTGAGGTCGCGCGAGATGTAGAGGAACCAGAAGTAGCCGCCCAAGATGAGCGTCAGCGACGCCAGGTACGTCACCGGCTCCACGAGGTCCCAGCCGTACTCGGTCATGAACGTCAGGTAGTACACAATCGCCCACCACCCGACGAGCGCGCCGAACCCGCCCTTGGCCAGCCGCCGCGCGCTGCGGTGCGCCAGCGCGTCGCACTCCTGCTTGATGGCCGCCTGGTGCGCAATCTGCCGCGACAGCCGCCGCAGGCGCATGCGCTGGTAGAACGTGCGGTCCGCAAACGACGGCACGCTGACCCGAATCTCCGTCGCCGGCGGCTCGCCCTCAATCACAATGGCAAACTCGCGGCCCCGCGCCGCCTCGCGGATGAAGTCGCCCATCTCCGTGCTGCTGCCCCACCGCACCCAGTCCTTGTCGGCGTCGTGCCGCTCCGCCGCTTCGTGCCCGAGCCCCGAGTACGCCGCGACGTGCGAGCTGCGCCGCGCCTGGCTGGCGTCCGCCTCCGAGTCTGTACCGCGGCCCTCGGCATGCTCGGCGCCCGTCTCTTCGGCCCAAAAGTACACGTTGGGCGGCCGCTCGCGGCCCTTGGCGTCCACCACCGGCGGCAGCTCTGCCTGGATCAGCCGCTGCACGTACGACAGCGGCTGCTGTGGGTGCAGGAACAGCGAGAGCGGTTCGATGTTTGTGTGTGGATTCTGGTTATCGCCGTCCTTGTCGCCGTCCTTGTCGCCGTCCTTGTCGCCGTCCTGGTCACCGCTCTTGCCGCCGGCTTCTTTCTCCTTCTCTTGCCGTATACCCACTGGCAGCGGCAGCGTAAACTTGAGCAGTCGGTTGGGTGTCGTCAACAGTTTGCCTGCACACAATTAGCATGACGTCCCCGTATCGTAGTCACTCGTGAACATGCATTGCCTACCCTTTGCTGGCAAGGCCCCCGTCTTCTGCGCCGGCGGCTGGTCCGCATCTTCGCGGTGCCATGGCCGCTTGGCTTGTAGCTCGCGTGCCCGCGAATGCTGCTCATCCGGGTGGAGTCGCGAGGCGCTGTCGTTGTCGTGTTTGCCATCTGCCGGCGGCGGATTCGTCGAGAAGCCGACACGTCCTGTCCAGTTCAAGGACGGAAGCGTCGCGGGTCGGGTCGAGAGGGTGTGGATCGGTGCTCGCGGTATGCTGCACAGAATGGCTGTGCGCGGTGAAACAACCAGGAATCGCGGTGGTAGCCACCCTGCGCCGGCCATTGTCAACGACAAGCTGTGCAAGCTGCGGTACGGGCGTCCGTTTCGGTGTAGAATGGTGGTCTCGTGCCGGTAATCGTTGGAGCCGTCGTTTGTTGCGTCGCAAAAATGATTGACAGAGAATTCCAAGACCTTATCGCGTGCCACCTGTCATGCACAGGAACAAAATAATGACGTCACGACACCACTGGAGCTAGGAGCTGTAGTCAGGGGCTAGAGCCCTACATCAACAAACCACAGCTCATCTCGCAACCGCACATTCAATGGAATGATTGTCGACGACGAAAATAAATTAAACATAAAATAAATAGAATTAAACCCGAATTAAAAATACCATCACGTTGTCCACAGTTCTCGTATATGACACGCTCAAGTCACCGCGAAGGCTGTTCCACGTCATGGTGCACGTCGTCCAAATCGTCGCACGACCAATACACCACTCCACGCAAACCCGTCCAGTATCGCAAGCTAGCTTTAGACCTCAACAGGCTCGACTCTCTCCACCTTGCCGCTGCTCATCCAAACAGTGACATCTTGGCCCGGCCGGAGCCGTCGTGTCAACGCCGCCGGACGGTGCGTCACAATCAGCACCGTGTGGCCGGCACCCTGCTGGCCTTTGATAAACACCTCCTCCACCACATCATACACAGCCGCCTCCGTCTCCGCATCGAGTGACGCCGTGATCTCGTCCAACAGAACGATGGGCATGCGCTTGCCGTGCTCGCGGTCCGAGTACATCTCGGAAGAAACGGAGGACCGGGTTTGCAGCTGGAGCAAAGCACGGGCCAGTGACAGAAGCTGTGCTTGGCCGGCCGAGAGCACGGGGAATGACGAAAGCGCCCGGTCCCATAGCGAGGCGGTCGCTCCATCCACAACATCGCCACCGTGCTCATCGTAACTGCTGCCGACAAACAAGCTGAGCAGCCCCGTCTTCTGCAGTGCCTCAGCCAACGATCTGTCCGGCAGCGTTTCGGTTGGGTCCAAGTGGAAACGGAGACTGGCGCCGGGGAGGAGAAACGGATCTTGTGACACAGTCACAAATGCGCGCTCGCGGATGTCGTCGAGCTGGAGACCGGCCAGGTTGATGCCGTCAATGGTGATGCTGCCGGTCGTGTGTACAGTTAAAAGTCGCAGGAGAGACATGAGAAGAGAGCTCTTTCCACTAACGACACGGTCAGCGAAAGCAAGGGTTATACTAGTCCGCATAGACTATCACATACCTCCCTGTTCTCCCGCAGATAACAGCTACCTGGCCCGGATTGATGCTCAAGTTCACCCCGTTGAGAACAGGTGTATCTTGACTATGCAGCTGTTAGTAAAGAAGCCACAGTGGCGTGTAGCGCGGCAGAGATATACTCACCTGTAGGATGCCGTCACATTGGCGAGTTCGATCTTCCCAGTACTTGGCCAGTTTGCCGGTAGCCGCCCTCCAGCGTCGCCATTGGCTTCGATCGCATCCTTGTCCAGCAAAGACTCCTCCTGTGGCGTCTCGTGTGTTGCTTCTCGAAGTCGTGCAACAGCCCCCAATGACACTTCCAGAGTTGTCCACGTCTGGATCAGGCGAAGGAGCGTCGTGTTGGTCACAAGGATAATGTTCAAAGCCACACCAATCTGTCCACCTGACGGACTCAGTCGTATGATGGGCTGCGAGGGCGAGCCCCCTGCAAGTGCCCCCCACACTGCCAGCCAGACCGTACCAACAGCAATACAGGCAACAACCGCGTCCAGGACGACGTTCAGCCAGCGTTGGAGAGACAGCGTGAGGTAGACCGGCCGTTGAGAATTGTCAAGCGACACGGCATTCTCCTGGGCCATGGCATCCTGCCAGCCAAACGCACGGATGGTCTGAACACCGCTGACTGTCTCCAGAATGTTAAAGTACACTGCAGATTGGGACTCGAGCTCTATTCGTCGCAGTTGCCTTGACGTGCGTAGATACCGCTTTTGCACCACATACACAATTGCAACGCAGATCGGCAACGTCACACCCAGGAGGGGCTGCGAGATGACAAGGACAATGACCTGCATCAGAAGTTTAAAGCACTCTGAACCAGTATTAGCGTCGTAGTTGTCTCGTTTCTTAGAAATACGACGTTTGTTCGCGATACGTACGAGCTAGAAAGCTGCTCATTGCAACGGAAATCTTTTTGTCAACAAGCTGGATGTCTTGGGTGAACCTGAACAAGCAACGCAAATATCGTTAGAACAGCGTACGTGGCCGGGCCGTCATCCATAGTCCTCACCTGTTCAAAACAGTTCCGAGGTCCGTGTTGGAGAAAAAGAAGAGAGGGGCACTAATGAAGAACAATCAGCAGTTGTCTACGGACGGAGCTCGTTGGCAATGAACCACATTACGTTCCATGTACTTACTTGCAGATCGACCGGAGAAGACGACGATGCAAAGTTTCGCCAGACCGGCCCGCAACGAGTATAATATCAGCCCTGAGACAGCTTGTTAGCCTCATAAGCGCGGTAATACACAGTGATACATCTTCAAACCCTCACCATTTCAATAGGGTCGTGGCCATCCATGCGACAACCAACATGGAAACGTATCCCGAAGCATATAGCACAGTATTTGAAGGTTTCGATTCCGTCCACCACTTCAAGTAAAGAGCCGGCATCGTCAAGAAAAAGCCCAACGTTGCCGTCAAAAGGACGACAAGGGAAACGTTGCCAATACCTGCAGACAAGATGTAGTACTTGTATAATGAACGATCGCCATCTTTTTGTTGATAGTCTATAGCAGCAGCAGGTCCTTTTGGGCTCGCCTTTTGGGGCTGTGAGGCGTCTGCCTGTATCGTATCGTTTTCAGTATATTCATCCGAATTGGTACTAGCAAGCGTAGTATCCGTGAACATCTGCCCAAGAACAGCTTTGTCACTATCTTGCAAATCGCCTTGATATTTCACAGTGCCATCTGCAAGCAAGATGACCTTGTCGCTAAGGTGGAAGTACGACTGGTTGTTAGTTACCCATATGACGGCCATGCTGCTGTTACGCAGAAGACCGTTGGGTCCAAGTAAATTGTTGATAACGGCGCTCTGTGTTTTGCTGTCCAGGGCACTGAAGCTGTCGTCAAAAACGAACATATCAAGTTTGGAATAAACAGCTCGAGCAATGGCCTATTGTAGAAGCGGTCAGTAAGTAGCTGACAAGAAACATACACGCCGTATAGAGTACGCACCACTCGTTGCCGCTGGCCACCGGAGAGATTTTGGCCGCCGGTACCAACAACTGTTTGATCTCCGTCTGGAAGGGCACCAAAGTCCTCAAGCAGGCAGCAGGCATCTAGCACTTTGTCATACCGTGTCTGGTCAATGTGGACACCTCCGTCGAGTCCCAGGATGCATTCTCGGATCGTTCTGTTTGGCAACCACGCGGTCTGCGAGCAAAACGCCATTTTCAATGAAGACACAGCTACCGTTCCTTTGCTGAATATAGTCTCTCCCAGGATACTGTGCATTAGTAGAGTCTTGCCAGCTCCGACAGGCCCAGCGACAATAGCAAGTGATCCCTTTGCGATACTGAAATTCACAGACTGGAGAATAGGCTTCGAGCTTTGCTGGTCGGGAATGGTGACATCCGTAAAAACCACTGCATCCGATGTTCTGGAAATGTCTTCATGCTCGGTAGATACTCTCTTGTCGTCCACGCTTGGTCTCAGCAGATACGTCTGGATGCGCTCAAAACTCGACATGGATGCTGCAATCCGGGGTAGAATGGTCATGACCATGTTGATTGGGTGTGTAATCATGGACAGAATGGCCGTTGTCGTGAATGCGGTTCTCGTGTCAAACTCTTTGCCATGCGCCGACGCGAGAATTGCGTAGAGGGCAACAGTCAAGACAGGCGAGAAAAGACCCAAAGCGTTTGCTGCAAAATTACTCGTCAGTGAAAGATACAGGTCGATTGGTTGTATAACAGTCGTCCCTTACCGCTCGAGTTGTAGAGCACATTCACCCAGCGCACGCCCTTTGCTGCAAGGAGCTCGTTCTCGCGAAGCTGTAGGATCACATCTTCGACGGCCGTCTGCATCCCGAGAATCTTGACACTTTTGATCGCTCCAAGGATCGAACTTGTCATGGACAGCCGTTTCTGTGTCGCTTCGTTCCACGCGGTTTGCCTCGCCTTCATAGGCTTCACCGCATAACGGCTTGTCTGGGAGAAGACTGACATGCCGGTATTAGCTTTGTGTATGGCATTGGAAGAGCAGCATAAAGGTACAAACCTACCAAAAACAATACCCGCTGGCAACGGCCACAGCCAGCCAATCTCCATGGCAAGCATGGAGAAGCCGACGGCTGCTTCGAGACAGAATGCCCACAACTCGTGAAACATCTCAGCAGCACCCTCAATCTCGACAACATCTGTGCTGATAAGGGTCAAGGCTTTTCCATCGTCATATGCATGGCTGCGTCCTGTTAAAGACTTTTGGTGAATGATGCCAACGAGGGCACCCTTGAGCATGACTTGGATGCGATCGAGTAGGTGGCGATAGACAACGGTAGATGTCATGAGACCAAAGTAGACAAAGCCGGCCGCCACGACAATCCAAGATCCTGCAGCGGATGCATTATCATCAATGCTCTGCTCTTGGGCGAGTCCTTGGACAAAAGAAATTGCCCTGCTTATCAAGATAGGCTGTGAAAATTGAAATAGAATAAGAAAGAGCCGTGGAATCGCGACGAGCGTGATTGGCACCGAAAAGCAACTGAACAAGACGCGAGGGAGTGTCGTTGGTTTGTCGGGAGTCTCTAGAACCAAAGCACATTGGGTTAGGGCCATGTAGTATGCCGCCTGTTGTTCCTGAATAGACCTACCTCGTGTTTCCCATGCGGCCAGTATTTTCTGCCGCAACGGATCCGATTCGAGCTTGCTATCCATCCGAGGAAGGTCGGCTGGCGACAGAACTTTGTCGTAGCCCAACTGCAGCAAGTCATGAAGCCACCAGAAATACGTCAAGCTGAGAACGCCAGCTAGTTCCTCGGGAGGCAAATCGTGAAATTCCTCGCGCAGGATACGCTGTTTGCTACGGCTTTCGAGGAAAAGTAACGTTCCCTTGGCCGTGGCCTCGAAAGTCTTGGCCCCGTAAAATGTAGTCGGCCAGCCAAAGCGCAATGGGACAGCCAGCGACATCAAGTCGATAATAAGCGTTGCCACGAGATACAGCACGATTGTGTTGGACGGGCGAAGGTTTCGGCGGTGCTCCTGGAAGGAGAGGATGGCGACCGCTACGGACGCGGCCGGTCCACCGTACAGGCTCCATTGAGCTGCAAACGAGTCGGAGGTGTCCCTGCGCGCCAAGATGAAGGCCGAGCTAAAACAGGCGGCGATGAGCAGAAACGAGGCAGCCTTGGGTTGTAAACAGGACGAATCATGACATCAACGGGTACGTGTATGAACATGCGAAACTCACAATCTTGTAAAAGGCAAGGCGAGAGGTGTTGACCTTGACTGACGCCAAATGCAGTTGTCGCAGCCTCACCGGCAGGACCAGAAGAAAGATCCATGAAGCCAAGCCGGCGGCCAGAAAGAGACCGTCTTGTGCAGACGGGCGCGTCCTCCACGACGACACAGTCTGCAATTCCGCCATGCTGCATCACGCTCAAGAAATCAACAGCAGCCTCTTGTCGGAGAAGAATGGACAGGACGATAGCGAAGACAGATGAGATGCATCGCGAGCGGCCGAAGTTGACGCTCTAACCTATATACCGTCTTGCCAGGGGTCGCATTGCACAATTCCATCCATACTGTTTACGGCTGCGATGCGTGGTGGGGACGGGTTGCGTTTCTCGTATTGTGTCTTACGGAGCATAAAACAAGCGAGTTGATCCAATGTTGGGTGTCTCCGACGACAAGTGCCCAGTTTATTAGACCATTACAAAGGCAGGCTTATCTGCACACAACGAATGAAAGGAAGGGACTTGAATTAATGCAAAGGAAGGATCGATGTTCAGGATTACCATCAGTGTTTTGTTACCAGTCAACTCGAGGAAGGAGCGGTTGACAGGCTGAATTGTCGACACCACAGGCGGCTTTTGGGGGCCTCGGAGGCGTTTCGGCCCAGAGATTTTGAAAATGCCCGCCGCATCGCGTGCAGCGCCCACCCACTAGAGCCTCACTCAGACGCTAAGATGGTTGCGGATAGCGAGGACCCCTGCTCTAAAGCAGCAGCTGGAGGACAGGCCTTCCCGCTTTTGGTGCTATTCGGCAGTGCTCCATAAACAGATACCAGTTTCCGATCTTGGTTCGAGACAGCCAATCTGGCCGCATCGGCTTTTCGACGGGTCTTTTGCCACAACGTGGGTGAACACACGGCACGTTACACGCATTCTCTTTTCCAACTGCGTACATTCTTTTATCTCTCACAACGGTCCATCTCTGCGGGCGAACACAGGACCACGGAAAGAAGAGTGTGTGGATGCAAGCGACCGAACGGAAAAAGTCTTACTCCCGAACGAGTCTCACTGGACAACGTCAGACGAATCTGGGCCATAGTCTGCGCTACCGCACGACGTTGGGGTGTCGATCGCAAGCAGGCGACACAGCATTGCGCCTCACTGCGGGAGACGCACACCTGGCGCCGTGGAAGCTGCGCGTGGGCGCCGAGAGCCGACTGTCGAGAGGACGATACATCTCCCCCGCCTTTTCCTCCTCATCCCGCCTAGAGTTAGTTTCGTCTCCGGCTGCAACACATCATGTGGCCACTGCAGCCGTCTTGGGTTCCAGGCACCGATTCCTTTTCTTTGTCTCTTCTTTTCGCGCACCTCCTCGTCCTTGCGACGTACATGACCGGCGCCCGCGCCTACGGGCCGCTGTCGGACGAGAGTCTTTTGCGCATACCTACGGCCGGCGCCGACTTTGACATCCACAATGGCAAGCTGCTGGCACCCATCCTCATCCCGCGCGTCCCGGGCACGCCCGGCTCCAGGGCCGTGCAGCAGCACTTTGTGCGGTTTTTCAAGGAGCAGCTCCCCGAGTGGGAAATTGAGTGGCACAACTCGACGGCTACGACACCGGCCACGGGCGACAAGCAGATTCCCTTTGCCAACCTAATCTTTCGGCGCGACCCGCCTTGGGCTGCGCCGGGCGATGTGGCACGGCTGACGCTGGCTGCACACTACGACACATTGTTCCAGCCCGAGGGCTTTATTGGGGCCACGGACAGCGCTGCGCCGTGTGCGATGCTGATGCACGTGGCGCGCAGCCTCGACCAAGCGCTGACGCAAAAGTGGGCGGCCATGAAGGCCTCGGGCGATGCCGGCAGCGGTCTCGAGGAAGAGCGTGGCGTGCAGATTATGCTGCTGGACGGCGAAGAGGCATGGGTCAAGTGGACTGCCACGGACTCGCTCTACGGCTCGAGGTGAGTTTGTATTCCTTGTCATATTCTTTGACCGTGTTGTGTCTCATACTAAACCGCGTCCCCCCCCCCCCCCCCCCCGTACCAGAGCACTTGCCGAGTCATGGGAGGCCACTCGGTACGAGGCCCTCTCGACGTTTTCCAACCCACTTAGTTCCATCAGCCTCTTCGTGCTGCTCGACCTTCTCGGCGCACCAAATCCCACGGTGCCGTCCTACTTCCAAACCACGCACTGGGCATACCAGCGCATGGCCTCCCTCGAGGACCGCATGCGCAGGCTCAAGGTCCTGGCGTCCGAGGGCACAGGCGCAAAATTTCTGCCGGAGTCGGGCAAGAAGCCCTCGCAGTTTTCCCGCGCCTTTGTTGAGGACGACCACGTGCCGTTTATGGCTCGCGGCGTGGCTATCCTGCACATCATCCCCGCGCCGTTCCCGCCCGTGTGGCACACCATGGCAGATACCCCTGGAAACTTGGATATCCCGACCGTCGACGACTGGGCCATGATCGTGACGGCATTCACCGCAGAGTGGATGGAGTTGGACGGCATGCTGCCCCAGCTTCAGACTCGCCGCACGACAAGGGAGTCTGCCAAGACAGAGTTATGACAATGACAGTGGGGGGAGGCTATCATAGTGTGGCGTTTATATTATGGGCTTCTACTCAAATTACAACAAATTTACGCTCTAATCCTGTTTGTCTTTCTGCTTGATTCTGCCATCTGTCGTCTCCAACCGCCAGCGACCACCCCACGTCCGATTGAATAGACCTCTAACTAAAACGTCAGTGTACTGAAATAATGCCATGTCATGGGATTTCAATCAACTATATAACGTTTTGTATTTCAAACCTACGTCCACGCTTTTCTTGCTGTGACGCTTTGCAGTTTGGCATTTCCGTTATAAGCACGTGACAATGCACGTGTAGTTTCAGGGTCACGGGCCGGGTGGAGCTCCACCAGAGAGACACGTAACTGCTAAAGCTTGTCGCACGACCGCGCAACACCAAGCTCCAAACACCCTCTGTCGTACAGCGTCCCAAACGGCACGGTGTTCTCTTTCCATCACAGAGGGGTGTCTTTACTTCTTTTCCGCTACCAGCTATCTGCCATTGACGACGCTGCCAACCCTTCAGCTGGTTCGATCTGTCTTTTTTTCTCAGCCGCCTCTTTCTTTCTTTTCTTCCATTCCTTCTCCTTCAATTGCCCCGAATACAACTCTCGCCAACGACGCCTCTTCTCGACGACATCTTCGACCGATCTTGAACGTCACCAACCTCCATCCCACCCAAACACTACTTCGACCTGCTTCGAGCTTTAACATTGCGAACTCTCCCTTTCTTACCTCGCAAACCATACATCAATATGCGGTTTGCGGTCTCATCACTGTTGCTCGCCGCCGTGGGTGTGGCACAGGCGGCGTCGGCCTGGAGCTTCGACGACGGCAGCATCACAATATCGTCCAAGGGCAGCAGCAACAAAGTGACGGAGAAGTAGGTGTTGCTTTTGTTTTTGGCCGTTGTTCTTCGTTCCTCAATGGGCTCATCGTCCATTTCCGTCCTGCTGCTCATCTCATTGTTACTAAACGTATCGTCAGGCTCAATGCCAAGGCTTCGCTCGACAAGGCCCTCGTCCTCGGCAGCAACGACGTCGCCAAGATCACACTGACCACCAAGGACAATGGCAAGGAGAAGCGGCCGCATCAGGCGTTTTTGCTGTTGCAAGACCCGGAATCGGGTCTTGAGGCGCCCTTCCCGCTAGCCGTCAAGGAAAGCGGCAAGGGCTCCGTCCAGATCTCCCACAAGGACATCCCCGTGCAGCTCCTGGCGTCCGGCAACCCCATTCACGCCCACCTCGTCATCGGCTCCTTTGGCTCTGCCCAGGCCTATGTCTCGTCGCAGGCGGGCGGCGGCCTCTTTGCGCTCACCCTGCAGCACGACCCCAACGCGGCGGCCCCCTCGTCGCCCGCGCCCGAGCGCTTCTCCAAGAAGGGCGAAATTCACCACATCTTCCGCGCCGACCCGCGCTCGCCGCCCAAGATCATTAGCCTGTTGTTTGTTCTGGCCGTGGCCGCGACGGTGCCCGTGCTGTTTGGCGCGTGGCTGCTGCTCGGCGCCAACCTGGCCCACCTGAGCAAGGCGCTGTCGGCAGCACCCCTTTCGCACGCCGCGTTCTTCGGCTCCATCCTGGCCATGGAGGGCGTCTTCTTCCTGTACTACACGTCGTGGAACCTGTTCCAGATGCTGCCGGTCGCCGGCATCGTCGGTGCGGTGGCGGTGCTGAGCGGCACCAAGGCGCTGGGCGAGGTGCAAGCGCGTCGCCTGGCGGGTGAGCGGTAAACGGGGGGTGGGTGCAGTGTGAAGAGGAGGACAGAGATGGCTGGTGTGTGAGCAAGATGGGATGGTCACATATCGACGAGCTGCGGCCGATCGTTTAACTTGATGATTGCAAAGGTACGAAACTGTACCTAGAAGAAACCAGAGGAGTCAGCAAATGTATACTAGGACACTGAAAATAGACGAGTGGGGGAGGAATACAGCAAAAAAGGTCTGCTGCACAGTTTACAATTGCGGTCTAGGATTTCTTCTTGTTAGTTTTTGTAGTTCTGCGATGCTTTACAACAATTTTTTTGTCGCTTTTCATATAAAGAAGTGCATCTCTAAAAGTAAATGTAACAGCTTGAGGTTTTCTTTGTTTAGAAATTAAATTTAAATTTTGTAAAATTAATTCGACGACAAATAATGAAAATAAATAAAATAAAACCTAAAACCTGTATTCCAAGAACCAATACCCGCCATCTATGATTATAATACAAATACAAAATAAAAAGAACCAAAAGACGTCACTTTACAACCACCGCCCTAGTTTTTCGAGCGTTTTGACTGCTGGTCGTTGCCGTTGGGTGTGTAGGGCGGCGGGGCGTGAACGTCCGACTCATCGTCAAAGACGCGGCGTTGCTGCGGCTGTGGTGCGTTGCCATCCCGAGCCATGTCACGGCTGTTGTTATTGTTGTTGTTCTGAGACGATACGTCGCGCGTTGCATACGTCGGCGGGCCTTGCGGCGGGGCGTACTGTTGATTGTTGTAGTTGTTGCTGCTGCTATACATCTGCGAGGCCGGCGGGCCTTGCTGGTACTGCATGTTGGTGTTGTTGTTGTACATCATCTGCTGCTGCTGCTGCTGCATGGGCGAGGGCACGGAGGTGACGTAGGCAGTGTCGACAACGTACCCGTGGCGCATATCACGGCGAACGTCGTGGTAGTCACGGCGCAGTTCGCGGCGGGCCATGCGGCGGTCGTGGCGGCCGAGGTAGGGAGAGCCGACATAGGTGGCGCCGACAGGGACCGGAGTCGTGTAGACGACGTTGCGGTCGTGGCCGCAGTTGGGGTTGTTCATGTTCGCGTTGTTCATGTTGTGATTGTCCATCACGTTGTACACGATATCACGAATGATGCCCATTTTGAAGAAGGCTTGCTTTGGTTGGTGCGTGGGAAAGATGTAAGGCGGATGAGGTGTCAAAGGGATGTGATATCCGCGTGGACAGGTGATGTCACAGTAGATGTTGAGCGTTTGATGGGTTATGAGAGATGTGTGTGAGTGTCTTCTTGAGAAGATGGAGATGTTGGAAGCAAATACCAACTTGAAGATAGACAGGACCGGCTGGCTTTATATCTTACCTGTCCCTTCGAGTTCTACGACAACCACGTTCAATTGTTACCTTTCAGAACCAGGATGGAGCCCATCCATACCTCTCGCCGGGCACAAAATTGATATTGCAGGCAGCCCCAACGACTGACGGCGAGGCCGCCAGCCGAAATCGATCGGCGCAGCTCTGTAATACGCGCTCAGTCTGGATTACGTGGGCGCCAAGGGGCTGTTCATGGAGAGATGGGGTTAAAGGAAACAAGCAAACGGGAACCAAAAAGCTTCTCTGCTTCGCAGGTGGGCTGTGCCATGCTTCCCACAGAATGGTACGGTTAGCCGCATTGGGAGCGATCGTGCGAATTGTGTGGGCTGTGATGGGAATGAAGCAGCCTGTCTGTTAGTCCCTGAAAAGGGCTGCCTAGAGCCTTGCATTTGTTGGCGGAGTGGTGTGGACACTCGGGGTAGGAGCGACCGCCTATTGGCTGTGATATCGCATTCGCACTCGTTCCAACACGCGGAAAGTGCGAAGTGCAGGTGGCACTGAAAGGACGCTAAAATGGAACACAGCCACGGAGCTTTAAATTTTTCTCTATTTCGTACACTGCATTCGAGCTTCCAACGAAGAAGGTTTTTATTCCTTGCGGCGGATGGACCGATTGGCTTTTTGTTCTTGAGACAAAATGAGAACAAGATCGGACTATCTATTTGATGCTGCTCTTTTGCTGGTGCCTGAGCTCTACCTCACGCGTAATCGTACTGCTTTGAATTCGTTTTGAGAAAGCTCTGTGCATTGGGCGAAATTGGGCTATGCCTAACTTCGATGTACGGAACACTCCGTACTCGTAGATGATGAATGCTCTGCCTTACAACAGTACTTCCGAAGCATTACCGGCGGTACGCGTATGACTTCATTCGTAAAAATGGTTGGGAAGCGGTCTGACGGGCCTCTAACATAAGTGCGACATCATTCTGGAGAACAGATATGTAGATATGCGTCTCAGATTGGCTGAGCATGTCCACCGATGAAACTGCCACAGCCGCTTCGCAGACGAGGGCCATTTACAGTTGCTGTCGTCATGAATGCTGACATAATACGACAATACGACAGACTCGACGTTCGTAGCGCCTTCCTTCTGAAGTATTGTTCCCGCACTCTGATTGGCCAGCTATCAAAACAAACCGTCTAGTGCGGTCTTACGTCGTCGACCGCTATCGAGTGTGGCATATCTTCAACACTCTTTTTGATATTATGGAAATGCAAGATCTTTCTTTCTTACGAGCGGTATATCGGAAATGCCAGCCTCGTCCGAGCCGTCGCATTGTGTGGCTAAACAGTAGAGAAGAGCCAGTTCGTTCGTAGTTGTTTTGTTCTTGCCTTTTTGGGCCAGAATTGTGGCTACCCCACGCCCCACAATAACACACTGGCCACCAGCACCAAGAGCTCTCCTGCTGTTTTGTTTTGTCTCGACATCTTCTCCTGGTTCTTGCAGCACGACACGTCTTTCCCACGCAAAGAAACGGCCTCACCGCGACGAGGACCTCGACACACTCCCGGACAGCATCGTGCCTTTCTGGAGGTTTGAGGACGCGTCTCAGCATTGCATCTGAGCAAACATTGTTTTCTTGTTCCCTTTTATTCTTTACGACTTGATCTCACGGCCGCTTTGTTTACTTTTATTTCTTTGCCCCAAAAGTCGCGTTGATCAGCGTGTTTCTTCTACCTCACCGATTGACTTCACACATCCTCCCACAACTACACATATACACACTCCTATCCTGCAATGGATTACCGGAATGTCCAGACGGCCAATCGCGCCGCCCGGCCTTCCGTCGTGCAGGACAAGCACCACCGGCCACGCCACCAGCACCAAGAGTCGGCACGTAACGCGCCCGGCTTGTTGCACTACGACTCCGACCGCTCCACGACGCTCGACAGTCTCAAGGACCTTATGGCCTTCAGCCAGCGCACCAGCCGCGCCCGCCACGACGACATCTTGCTCGCCGCCAAGCACGCGCGCGCCCAGATGCCCGCACAGTTTCGCGAACCGCCCTCGTCCACAGGCTCGCACGGCACCATCACACACAGCTCCATCCATTTTGGCGACAACATCAACAACAACAATGACCTCACTTCCGACTCTACCCCCTCCTCTACCTTCTCGGCCGGCCCCGACGCCGAGTCGACGCGTGCTTCTATGCACTACCAGCGCGGGAGCCACCGCGTGCGCAAATCTACTGGCCGCTTTGGCAACGGCGGCGAGGAGAAGCGGACAGCCACCGACATCCTGAGTGGTGTCGTTAACACGTCGGCCCTGTTCCGTACCTTTAAGGAGTGGCGACCCGAAGATGTGACCGAAACGGGTATCTTTGAGGACGCCGACGCAGGTGCACAAAACGACAACCGGGTCAACGTGGACGCGGATTCCACTACCAACTTTGGTGTCATCGACAACCTGGTGCACATTGACAAGGAGAACTGCGGACCCCTCCCATCCGCCCAGAACAATAAGCAGAAAAACGGTCGCATGGCCGACGCGCCAACCCGACACAACCGTCCAGTTCTGCAAGCTACGGTGCAAAACGAGTCACAGACGTCGTTCGTCATGACGGCAGCGGCTACCCAAAAGCTAAAGCCCTCTCCCCTGCGGTATGGCGCCGTGTCTCGTGCTGCAGCATCTGCTCCTGCACCTGCGCCGGCGTTGAAGAAATCGGTCACGACAGGTTCGCTGAAGGAGACGGACACCAAGAGGAAACACCAATCTGCTGTGGTGTTTGAGAACTCTCCGCTCCTGGACGACGAGCTGTCGTCGCCTGAGACGTCTGCCGGTTCACGCGAGGATATCGACCTGGGTATCCGGACAGCCGTTACAACCACAACGACTCATGTACCGCAGAGGACCAGCTCGGCGCCACCTGCACCCGCAGCTCATACCGCGATCCTGGCTCGGTCAGACAGCAACGATGGCGTTACTAACCAGTCGTTTATCGTTCCGTCCAAATCGTTCCCTCTCCTGCAGAACCTCGTCACCGGCACTCTGCGCTTCACCCCTGGCAACTACTTTTATACCCAATCCGTTGACGCCCAGCAGAAGTACCAGCTGCCAGCTGGTCGCATTCCCGAAGACGAGAAGGAGATTTTCGTGGATATTGAGACCATCCGCGAGGAGGTGAAGCGCCTGCAGGAGCACGACGAGATGCTCCAGAACGAGATTGTCCAAGGCGAGATCAAGTACAAGTCGCTTCTTGATCGTTTTTATAGCCTTGCCCACAAGTCCGCCGCAAATGACTTTGCGCCAGACCTGGATGACCCTGCCAGAGAAAGCGGCGAGGAGAACCAATGTGAGTAGCTGTCTGAGTCTGCGTTGTTCACTCTCCGCCCGTGTACTAATTGCTGTAGTATTGCAAAATAAGATTCTTGAGCTCGAGACAGATCTCGACGTCATCCATACGCAGTACGAAGAGCAGGCTCAAATTTCGACCAATCTGACATCCGAGCGCGATGCGGCCGTGAGCCGCGCCAATGCCGCTGCTGAGAAAGCCAGGAAACTCTCGGCTGACTTGGAGGCTCTTCGCGAGCGGATGGCCGCGTCCGCACAGCGTCCCAACCAGGAGGCGCAGCGGCGTATCCAGCAGCTGGAGCAGATGGTGGCTGAGCGCGAGCGGGTGATCAAAGCACTCAAGGACGAACGCGACGCCGCCAACAGCAGCCAACGCGAAGAGCAGCGTCTCCACAAGGAGCGCATCGCACGCATGGACGCCGAAAAGCGCATGCTCAGTGGCGACCACGCCAAGTGCAGCGACGAAAAGTATGCACTCACAACCGCCAAGGACGCTTTGGCCCAGAAAAACACGGCACTCAAGGAGAAGCTGCACGCAGTGCGGCAGCAGTGCAAGGACCGCGAGGCCACAGTGCATGCTGTTGTCGAGCGCCAGCGGAACCAGATCACGAAGCTGCAGGTGCTTCTGCGCGAGAAGGAGAAGAGCGTTCACCAGCTCGACGAGAACTTCCGCAAGCTGCGCGAGTCGTGGTCGTCCAAGGATGAGACGCTGATGCGCATGACAGAGGTTCTGGGCCAATGGCCTGGCGGTCTACCCCAGGAGCACCGGGGCACGCTGCAGCCTGCGGAGACGACCCAAGATCTGGAGCACGATGGCCGTGATGAGCACGAGTTTGACGTGTACGTAGACGATTTCCAGTCGGAGCAAGATGACCAAGAGCGGCCCGACGACAACCAGAACGTGGCCGACCTGGCCCAGAGTGATGGTGCCTCGGACTCGGGCCAATCTGCGGTCGACCACTCAATGGATGAGAACATGACGTCGGCGTTTATCATTCCCGATCTAGACTTCCAGACGGAGAACGTGGAGGTGGAGCAGGGCGAGAACGGCGAAGACGCGGAGCACGGCGAGATACATGACCAGGAGCTGGAGCGCGAGCTGGCACAGGTCCACGCCGCCTCGCGGGTTGCAGAGGCCAAGGCTAAAGCGAGCCATTCCAAGACCAGCAAGTCCAGCAAACCCAGCCAGCAAAAGTCTGTTTCCTTCCAGGCGACCAACCACACTCTGCGCCATACGACCACGTCAACTTCCGCAGCATCGACGACGGCTATCTGCAAGCACAATCGCGTCAACTGTGTCGTGTGTTGTCAAAATGCCGGCCCAGTTGGAGAGAACGCAAAGGTAACCGTGGCCGTACCGCGGCCGATCCAACCGGGCCAGCCGACCTCGTCGAACACCGCCGGCCGCCGCAACGACATTCTGCCCGACCCGTCCATGGATCCTGGTAGCGCGCTGGCGTACGTCATGAAGCTGCTGGACGACGAACGCCGCCACCTGTGGATGCAGATCTTGGCCATGCGCAAGAGCGGCGAGACGGAGGAGGCGCTCAACGACAAGCAGAGGCCACGTCGCGTGCTGCGCGAGGCCGAGGAGCTGTGGAACGCCTACGTCCTCAAGGTGGAACAGCTCAACCGGCTGGACGATGTGCTTGCAGGCCAGCGCGCCGCGGGCCAGGATATGACGCGCGAGGAAATTGACGTGACGATTACGCGGATTTTAGAGGTGTAGGGAAGGGTGGAGGCTGGGGTTGGTGAACGGGAGTGAATGTTTATTTTTCTTGGTGTTTTGCTTTCGAATTCTCTTTGGCTGCGCTTTGCTTGTTGTCTTTTTTCATGTCTTTCAGCTCATTTTCGCTTTCTGCCTCGGCTCTTCAATTTGGGTGTTTCGCATAGCAAACGAGCTCACGATGGCGATAGCCTGGTTGCACAATACGGCGTTGTCTTTTTTCAGAAAGCATTACTCTTTTTGTTTTGACTGGTTCACCTGCATATCTGCTCCCTATCGTTACTATATGACTTGTATTATTGAGGACGTTCCCCCTTTGGATCCCTCTCCACAACTGACTACTTGGATATTTGCACTCTTGGACTCTTGTTCTGGCTCCGTTGCCGTCCTGACCCGACCTTAACTTCTCCGCCCACGAACGAGAACCACTAATCGCCGGGCCAGACGCCGGCACGGCCGCCCCAGCGACCACAGCGAGCCCCACGCACCCAAGATCGCCGTCGTGCCCGTGCACAGAATCAGCGGCGCGTACTCGCCCACGACAACGCTCGTTTTGGAGGGGCCACCGGCCGCACCGGCCGCCAGCAGTGCGCCGCTGATGGGCCCGCTGAGCACAAACCCCAGGCCGCGGCCGCCCATGAGCATGCCAAAGACGAGGCCCGTGTTGGCCGTCTCGTCGCGCCGCTTCATGTCGTGCAGCACGGCCGACCAGGTCGACGAGAAGCCGCCGGCGAAAAATCCGTAGGCCAGCGCAAACGCAATCAGAATGGCCAGCGGGTTGCCGTGGAAGCTGGCCAGGTCGCTGACATACCAAAGAGCAAAGACGGACACGGCGGAGCCGATCGACGAGATGAGCACGACAGTGGTGGCGGGCATCCGGTCGCCGAGCATGCCCATGACCATGGTGCCCGGGACGGAGGCGACGGAAAAGAGCGCGAGAAGGAGCGGCCCCGCGTAGGTGGCGAGCCTGGTGGACTGCTCGAGGCCGAGCGCGACGGCGTAGGCGGAGAGGTAGGTGTTGGGCATCTGGTAGCCGAGGGACTGGATCATGTTGCCGACCATGAGCATCCAAAAGAGGGGCCGGCGGAAGAAGACGAGCGAGGAGGCCAGTGTGGTGGTGGTGGTGGGGGCGCCGACAGGAGACGGCCGGTGGGAGCCGGTACTCTCGTCGTCGTTGCTGTGGTTGTTGGCACCATCTCCGTTGGTCTCGTTCTCGTCGTCCCTGCCGATCGCGTCTGCCGACAAAACACCTTCCGGAACGCGTGGGCGCAAGAATAGCAGCACAGGCGCCGCCATGACCGCCGACGCCACGGCCCAGCCCCGCAGCGTCGTCTCGACGCCGTACCGCTCGAGAAGCACGGCCACCAGGAGCGGCATGCCCCCGCCCACGGTGCTCTTGGCCGCCCACATGACGCCGTACGCAAACCCTTTGCGCTCAAGGAACCAGTCGTCCAGACTCAGCGACGCGGCCCCAAACAGCAGCGCACAGCCCAGCGCATACAGCACACCCTGTGTGGCGATGAGCGCGGCCGCCGAGGAGCTCGCGCTGGCGCCGGGCGCGGACGAACCAGCGATGCTGGCGACGGACACGACCAGACCCAGCGGCCCGCACCAGGGCCGGAGACGGGGGAAACGCGTCAGGGCGGCCATGACGACGGGGACGGCGAGGTACATGACGCCCGTCTGGGAGGTGCCGATGGAGGTGACGCTGCCGGGAGAGGCGTCGACGAGGCTGTGGGTGGCATAGTACTGACGGAAGACGCCAAACGAGAGGGAGTAGCCTGGGAGGTCAGTGGAGGGAAATTAAAAAAAAAAAAAGAAGGAAAGAAAACGAGAAGGAGGGGGGGGGAGCTCACCCCATATGGGCGCCTGTGCCAGCGAGCACGCGGCCAGCACGAGATAGGCGCCGCGGCCCCGGTCGGCCGGCGGCACGGTGCGGCGGCCGTAGGTGACGTGGGCCGGTGACGACGGCGAGGGCGAAGCGGCGTTGTTGGCGTCACCGTCATCGCGGCCTCGTGACGCAGCAAGCCGTACGTTGCGGTGGCTCAAGCGGTGGAGCGCGGCGCTGCTCTTTTGGCGGATGGGCCGAAACGAAGGCGCAGTGCGGGCGCCGCCCAGCCTGCTGGTGGCGGCCGGCTCGGGCGAGCGAATGTTGTCGAGCTCGATGTTCATTGTGGTGCGTTAACGTGGAGGGCCGTGTTGAATCGCATATGCTTTGGGGACGCATTGGACGGATGGGGACGAGAAGATGGACTTTTGTTTTGTTATCATGAATTCATGACTGGCCGTTGAACCATGGATGTGACTCTTTTGTAGTCGGCAAGAAGTCCGGACGATGTGCGGTCTCCATTCTGCCTCCTCTTTTTCCAGGTTGCATGGCTTATATACGCCAGTTTGCGGTTTTCTTTTTAGGGCTGTTTTAGTGCATGGCGGAGTGTTGGCAAAGAAACAAAATCATGAAAACTGCGACGTAATACCTCCGACATCGCCAATGACCGTGCCGATCGTCCGTCTTATTTCAGTGGAGATATTATCGAATCAGAGCTTGACGAAACCACTCACGAGTACAAACGGGAACACATATTGTTAAAGTACGTATTTACAAAGTTGAATTGTGACTGGTCATGAATGCGTGGTATCTAGGTATCTTTTGTGTGAATGGTGAAAATATGGCTGTACGCAAATGAACAAAGCGATAACCAGACTTCAGAAACACAAAGAGATGAAATCAAATCGATCCGCTTTTTGTTAGTACTTCGTACTGTGATGCCGATGTTGGCTTTCTGTAGCGTAATTGATGCTGCTATCCAAAATGAAAGAAATCGTAAGAAAAAAGAGTGAACCTCCGAGATAATTGACAGGATCCAATGAAAGATTAAGAGATACTTTGATGGCCAAAGACCAGCCATGGCCAATTGAAGTCGCAATCAAAGAAGGAAATGAACACAAAGAGACAAGAATGCAAAGCCAGACGCAAAAAAAGAAAGTGCACAGAAACGTTTATCTCGGCTCGTCTAGAGCCATGGCGTAGACGTTGTCCTTCTCCCACTGCAGGTAGTCACCCAAGTCGTGGCTCAGGTTGTAGCCCATGGGTGCCACGTACTCTTTGCCGTTGGCACCGCGCGTCATGATAAGGTCGGCCATGGGGCTCTGCGGCATGCTCTCGTAGCTGGCGACGCTCGCATAACTGGCGCGGATGTCCTGGACGGCGTGCATGGGGTGGAGGTTGTGGATGGTTCGCGGCTGAGTAGGTGTGATGTCGTCGTCAATATGGACTGCAGGGTTGTGTCGAGCCGTGCTGCTATTGCGGCTCATTGCGTATGCGCCGTCGTCCGTACTGTTGTTTCGGCTCATGGGGAACGGCAGGGCCTGGTTGGCCGTCTGCGCAGTGAGGCCCGAGTCGACTGTGTTGACGGTGCTGCTAGATACACTGGCGACCACCGCGACATCTCTGTTGATGCTGCTACCGCAACTGCTGTATACCGATGTTGTCGTACCAATACTTGTGTCGGTTGCAGTGCGGCTGTGTGTAAGGCCACGGACGTTCGTTTTGGTGTTGCCTGCAACGCCAGCAGCGACGCACCTGATGGATGGCCACTGCGACCCAGGCTTATGACGCTGGGTGTCTTGGGTCATCGTGGCAGGTGCTGTCGCTACTTCAGATGGTGGTGCAACAGGACGAACCCACTCCGTGTCCTCTTCGGCATTTGTCAGGAGCCTTTCGGCGGGAATGTCGAGCGACCAGAACCAGTCGGCCAGCCGGTCCGCCTCGTCGGCCGCGGCTGCTGATATTTGGCCGTAATCAATACTTTCGTTGCAATACTCACCCGCACCACCCAATATGGCCATCTGAAAGGCGGTCCAGTCCAAAGTTTCCTCGACGGTGGCAATGTTGGGGTGGTGATGGCGGTGAAGATGTAAGTTGCGGTCGTACGAGCTGCGGCTGTCTGAACGCACGTCGAGAAGATCTAAACGATTTAAGCGGACGGGACCATGGCGGTAGGTGGGCATGACGAGCGAGAAGGGCGTGGCCGACAAGTAAACATAGGTTGTGTCGTCGCGGTGCTGGGGTATGGTCGATGCGGCAGCACCCGCAACGGCTGTCATGGATGTTGCTGACGACGAGGTGGATAGTGAAGATGACGACAAAGGAGGAACGAGCGAGGTAGGGGACGACAGGAAAAAGGACGATTTGGGCGTTTTGGCCAAGGACTTGTGCGATGTGGACCGGTGTGCACGACGCCGACGCCTCTGGCGGTCTACGTCGGTCACGGTCACTTGCGGAATAGGCTGTGTTGGCGGCGGCTGGTTCAGCAACGGCAGCGAAGCAGCGTCAGGCTTGGGAGTCTGTGCCACCTTCCTGATGAAGCTCTGAAACCGCATCGGGTTCTTTGTCGGTGGCGAGGGAAAGGGTCCAATTTCGTCGAGAGGCGACTTGGGTGGCTTGGGCACGACGTCGGAAACCTCCTCAAGCAAATCAGACTCGGACTCTGACTCAATGGTTTTGGCTGCAGCCTCCTTTTCCTTGCTTTCCTGCGCTTCTCTTTCTCGCCTCCGACGTTCTTTGTGCTGAGCCACGGACGAGGCGAAGTAGGCTTCTTCCTCCTCGACGGGAAGCAGGATGGACTCGCGGACGCCGGCGGCGCCAATGCGGCTCGGCAGATCTTCCATGTGGAACGGCTCAATGGGTGTGGTGCTGCCATCGGGTTCGTCGCGAGATGCACTCAGGTACACGGTTCTAGTCTTGGTGTTGCCGTCGTCGGTCTTATCACGGACCACAGTCAAGTGGCTTGGCTCGGCCACCCGAGGAGTCTTCTCTTCGTCTTTATCGCCGTCTTCATGTTCTTCTCCGTCAGCATGGCCCTCACCACCTCGCCACACCATCTGTGTAGCAATGTGCGGGGGCATTGGAAGAGACTTTGAAGGGTAGGACTCGGTCGGCGGTGACACGGGCATGAAGACAGTTGGTTCGATGGGGTTGCCATGTGCATCAACTGGCATGTCGTCTGGCTCGAGGGGGCTCACCTGGAGCTCTTCTTCCTCGCACTCCAGCAATGTCTCGAGCGGGCCGGCCGTGGTTGTGTCGGCAGAGTCACACGGCGCCTGAGACTGAGACTGAGACTGGGACTGAGACCGAGACTGAGCCTGAGGGTGTGGCCGCTGCAGCTCCTTGATGAGCGCTCGCTCGGCATCGGCCAGTTCTTGCTGCTGTTTTTCATTTTGAGTTGCCCGCCGCTCTTTTTCGTCCTGCGCCTCCTGCATCTGCTTTGCCTTTTTCTTTTCGTCGGCCTCGACCTGCTGCTTCTGGGCCAGGGCTCGGCTCGCACGGATAGCTTGCAGTTTCTCAAAGGGGAGCGTCTCGGTGACTTCCATACGACTGAACAGGCGCCCATTGAAAAGTTCTGTGACATTGTCCGGCAGTGTCCAGCGAGAACTACCACTACCGCCGCTGCCACCACTATTGGTGCTGGTGGTGTTGGCATTGTTATTTGTGCTGTTCTTACTGTTCTTGCTGCCCTTGCTGTTGCTTGTGCCGTCGCCATCAACGTCCATTTGGCTTTTGCCATCTACGAATGGCTGCCCGCTTTTGTTGGACGTCGAAGTACCAGAAACAGCGGCAGAAGATGCAGCAGCTGCCCGATCACGTTTGACGGCGGCGTCTTTGGAGCGTTTCCGCTTGATGCGCAGGGCAGCGTCGGGCAGGCCCTTGTTCAACCGCAGAGGCAAGAAGCGCGTCTGTCGCTTTGGCGAGGACGGCGATGTAGAGGCGGGTAAAGCACTAGAGGCTCCAGACGTCCTTGATTCCCCGCCTGTCAGCGAAGGCCGTGGTGTTGGCGACGGTGATGTGCTCATCATGCGACGCGAGATTGTGGCCTCGGATGGGACGATGGACGGGACAGCCGGGGGCGAAGGTGTTGGTGCCATGCGCGGCTGGGTGAATGTGGGTGTTGTGCACACATTGCGCACAACGGGAGAATCGGTCGTGGCGCTGGCATCGGCACTGACATTGGTGTCGCTGTCGATGGCCAGCCGGGACGACGACAGTTGCATGCTGGCAGACTGCGTAGACGACTCGGTCGCTGGTGGGCGACGCAAGAGGGCGGCCTCTTCAGGCGGGATGGAAAGCGCCTGCAGCAGATCAATACACGAGCCAGCGTCGGAGCCGTAGTCAGAGTCGGAGTCGGAGTTGACGTTGTTGTTGTCGGAGGAGGCGGAGGTATTATCGTTTGAGCTGCCAACTAGATTGGTCTGACTGCGGTCGAGTGCAATTCCGCTGTCCTTTTTGCAGTCTATGTCGCCGGACCGGCCACGGTAAAGAGGATGAGCGACAGCGTCTGATTTTGTCGAAACGACAACAGTCTTGTCCGGTGAAGCTGCTGATGACGACGATGATGCGTTTTCAGTCTTTGGCTTCCATGAGCTGTGACTTGCAACGAACGAGGATACACGAGGCGGCGGTGGAGGCGGGAGTGCCTTGGTCAAGAGATTGGGTGCATGAGCGGACAGAGAAGTTCGAGACGGGACAGTCGAGGCGAGAGAGACGGTGGTATCGAGAGTCAGAGGGTGCACGTTTGGCCGTGACGATGATGCTTTGACGGTCGAAGTGGAAGAGACAGACGAGGCCGGCTGTGCATTGCGATGCTGGCCATGGCGCCAGGCAGCGCCGCCCACATCCGCACCAGCCTTCTTTTGTTTGTCCCCTTTGCCATCTTTGTCCAGGTGCGACTGTTTGTCCGGTTGCTTCTTTGCTGTTGTTTGCGTGATGTGTGCAGCTTGGCTGTGTTTTGGCTGGGTGTGGCGCTTGTCGCTTTCTGGCTGGATTTGGCCTTTGCTGTTTCCGGCAGCCAGCTGCGCCTGCCCTGTGGGCGGGGCTGCGACTGCCTCGTGTTGTTTTTGTTTTTGTGCCCCTTTGCCGCTCCTGCTGGATTTTCTTTGTTGGGACAGGCTGTCGTGCAAGTGCTGTTGGCTCTTGCCGCTTTTGGCCCCAAGGCTCCCTCGTCTCCCTTGGCTGTCCACGCGGCGGTGCTGGCTCTTTCTTCTTTTGTCAACGTCGTTGTTTCGGCCGCCATTTCGATCGCTTTTGTCTCCTTTGTCAACTCTCTCCGTCTTTACGATTCTCTCTGTGTTGCTGTGTTTGTCGCCACCGGCCTTGTCGTGTGTATCGGGTGCGAGCACGCGCTTTTCCCGCCGGGTCACCCGGACGCCGGTCGCCGTTCTGGGCGTGTTGCTCCGTGGCGGCACGACAATGGCTGGAGGAATCGGACGATTTTTCTTGCGAGGAACCGGCGGCGGTTCGTTTGTGCTCGCTGGATCTGAGCTCTGACCCAGGCGTGCAGTGACTGCGCTCTCTGTGCACTCGGACCGCGCTGTGTTTTTGTTTGTCGATGTTGATGTTGCGTTTGTTTTGTCGCGACAGTCGACTCCCATGCGGTCGAGCACAGCAGTTTCAATCGTCTTGATGGTCTGAATCGTTCGAATGGACTGGGCTGCCTCGCTGTCTGCGTCCATGCGCAAACGGAGACTGCGGGCGGCTGCTGCTGCCGCCGCGGCCACGACCGCCTTGATGCGGTCAATCTCCTCTTGGCTCAGTTCGTGGTCGACATTGTCGGTGAGACCACGCTCGGCCTGCGGTGTCGTGATGCTGATACTGCTGTCTGGGTGGAAGATGGTGCTGTTGCTGCTGCCAGAGCTGCCGGAGCTGCCGCGGCTGTGGGTGATGATCCGATTCTCGTTGCTAGTGCCACTGCTGCTACTGGAGTCGCTGCGTCGCTTGCTGCGGACGCGGTCGAACGTCGGCGACGCGGCTACCTCGTCGGCAATGAGAGACAGCCGGCGAGGCGACGAGAACAGCTTCCGGATGCTGAAGCTGTCGCGCGACGGCATCGTGAGAGGCGGGAATAGAGAGGAAGTACAACGGACGATACACAATGCACGATACTCGGACGAATGCAGATGCGAGGAGAGACAGCGAGCAACAGAGAGAGACAGAGTGGGAAATTAAGGACTGACAGGCTTTGGGATGTGTGGAGAGTATGAAGTTGATGAAAAGGAAGAGAGGACATCAGAGGGAACAAGTTCATCAGCAAGAGCCGGGTCCAAGTAGCATGGCTGTTTCTGACGAGACAAGTTCTAGAGACAAGGTCTGGAAACAAAACTTAAATTGATTTCGAAGAGGACCGAAGGTGAAAGTGCGCGGTCGTTGCTGCCAATATAACAGAGTCAAGGCCAATGCTGGGGCCGGCCTCGTGTGTCCTCACGGCGACTCTGTGTTGGAGGGAGGTTTGGGGGGGACAACGACGAGATAGAAATACAAAGCTACTGTAAATAGAGATGCTGGGATGGAAATAGAGCATTTGGGAAGCGTTCTCTGCAGGCACAAATAACGAAGGGAGAGGCGATTACAAACAAAAATGATATCGAGGGAGAGTCATAAGAAAGGCAAGAAATCAACACGAGGCAGGCCATGGACGCAGAAAATAGAACACTGAATTTGGAACATAGAACACAGCTTGGTCCAGATCATGAATAGAACAGCGACTGGAACAATCATACCGGGTAGACTGAGAGGGTGTGCAAAAAGGGCCAACCAAGAAACTAACAACCTGTGTTACAAGCCCAGGGAGCAGCCGAGTGGCTGAGAGGAAGAAGCGGCATGAAGGTAAGTTTAGAAGACGGAGGCAGAGGAAGGGATGGAAATAGAGAGTACGGCACAGGTCGGGGGCCATCGTGGCCGTCATGCGTCGAAAACAAGAATTAAATTTCGTTCTAAATAGACCCCGTCTATTATACCAACTGACTCTTCTAAGGAGGGCAGGAACAATGTTGGCAGGGATTCAGGTTGGGGGACGGTGCAATGTGTGCGAGGCGATATCGAAGGGGGAAAAGAACCCGTGCTCGACCGGCGGACAGAAACTGCCCCAAGATTCACTCCCCCAATGTGAGTCGTGAGAAAAACAAGAACAAGAACACCGCCTTTGCCCTCGCCCTCCTCCCTTCTGTATGTTATACGGGACGCAAGGGTGCATTTTGGCCCCCAGAACCGGCCTGGCCCTTTTTGGCCAGTGCATGTTGGCCTACAGGAACTTCATCCGCCATCCCTGCCGGTTGCACAGAATTGGCAAAAGGGTTGGGAGGACAGTGCACGCTGACAAGCGTTGTCTGTGTGAGAGTAAATGTGTGCTGCTGACGATCTGCTAGAGACGAAATGACATGATCAGTGTCTTTTCGCCTGGGTCGACGAATCGACTTACACGGCCACGAAAGGCAGCGGCGGCTCAGCTGCGTATATTGTAGCGCACCTGGTCAATACGTCGTACAAGCCTATAGTATTATGGATTCAGCTCAGGCGGGAAAGTAAATAAAGACCTCCAGCTTGTCTCACAGCAACGCTCATAACAATTCTTTACACTCATAGTTGCCTGGTGTCTCTCTGTTGGTGTCTCTTCTAACCGTTGTTTGCCCTCACTTTCATTTGGACAGAGGACGAGATGAGGAGATGGGCACTAGAACAAGATGACAGACTGTGTTACGATGCACACTTGCACTGCATGCACTCTTGTCTGACCCTTCTAGGCCTTTTTGGGACATTGGGGCTTTGGGGGTTTTTGAACCATCGTTTCTGGAGCGGGCCGCAGCAACACACCACCTTTGTGTTGATAGTTGGCTGTTGGAGGTATTTTTGTAGATGTCACGGCTCGTTTATTGGCCCGGGGCTGTGTTCGTTTTTATTTTCCGCGCGCCTATCTGTTAAAGGCCATAGCTGCAACTTGCAAGCGAAAGGTAATTTGTTGCTGCGGCTATTCCATACACTTGTCATATCTTCATGTCGATGGAACAAATTAGAAAAACAATACAGGAAGAAGAAAAAAAGAAAAGAGAATTAACCAGATGTCCAGGTTGTCCACAAGAGAGACAAGCACGCCATGGAGAGGAACACAACATACGAGTACGTGCTTCCTGCCAGCTGTCTCTTCGTATTGAACCACCAGGCAGAGGTGCGTACCCGGCCATGCATGCAATAGAATCATGCTGTGCGATGTCGAGGGCATGCAGACATCCGCTTCTCCTCGACCTATTCTTTCGTTCGTTTTGTTTTCTTTTCGTTTTCCTTTTGTCCTCTGTGAAATTTCAACGTGGAAATTGACAAGGTGGCCAGCGTTCTAGAAAAGCGGTGTGTTTTTAATGTCTTTTTCCCGACAAATGGACCCGAGGATGGAAGCAACCTTGCTCATAGCAAACAATCCCAGCTGTATGCACCCAATACTCGCCTAGCCCTTCAGCTCTTCTCTTGACAGGGGCATAATTGGATTCGACGGCCAGCGACAGCCAACTGACGTGTTCTTGTGCCAGCATGCGCCGTACTTGTCAAGTGCAAGTTTGACGCACAAAACGATCGTACACGTACTTGGCTTCCGTGCAGAACACAGAACACCCTGTGCTGCCTGCCATCCCCCCACCTGTCTTGTCCTCTTTGCGTATCACAGCATAGGGAGAGAAGAAGCTGGACGACTGGGAAAAGGGAAATGTTAGCAGAGAAAGAGAGCGGCGAACTTTTGACGTTCGATTGCGTTTACTGTGTCATGAAACGGATCATGATACGGAGTACGTCTGTGAAACAACTGGCTTTGACAGGACGTCAGCTTTGCGTTGCGATTCTGGAGCACAGTGCAGGCAGAGCAAACACCGAAGAAAGCAAACATAAGGTCCTATACAGCGAGAGGGAATAGGAGATATCTACAAAGTAGCCAACGAATATCTGCCCTTCCGCCGATCCCGTTGGCCTCGCCACTTGTCTGTTTCTTTTCTTTTCTTTTTTCTTATTTTTAACGGCCGTAAATAGTTCAGCCAACGTTTCACAGCAGGGGTTTGTATTTTCCACCCCGTAAGTATCCCTCATTTCATCATTTGTGCCCCCAAAACGCCACCTCAACAGCGGCGTCCGTGGGGGAGAACAGAAAGGATGCCAACACGCTTTTCTTACAAGGAAACCATAGCTTTGGTTAAGCGAGGGTGTGCTACCGGGAGACTGTCTTCTGGAGACAGTATCAATTGCAAACCTTCTTTGCAGAATTCCGCACGTTTCCGGCTTGTCCGGCTGTTCTTTTTTTGTCATATTCTGCATTTCGCAAATTCCTCTTGAAAAATCCAGTTTGATAGCTTTGACCTTTGTTTTTTTCCATTGCTCATCAGCTTATCAGCGGTGACTGTGAGCAAGCCTTTCCCCTATCGAAGTTGCTGACCAGGGTTGCAACGTGTAAGCCACATCGCCTACCGAATCGCCGCTCATGTGCACGGATGCTTCTGTGGCTTGAGGGACTGATTTTGAAAAAAGAAAAGAAAAGAGTAAAGATAGTAGACGTACGACACGCTTGGCGCTGGTGTATCAATGCAGTCTGCTTGTTGTACCCGTTCTCGAGGTGGGTAGTACAAAAAGACTGTCCCTGGAGGATGGCCAGGTAATCTAAGGCAGGAAAAAGAATGAGAGAATGAACGAATCAAGTCAAGAACAGGAGACGACGGTAACGGCGCCCCGGACAATTACGAGCCTGATGTATAAATATGCATCCTGCACTTATCGTGAGGCTGAAACAGACAAAATGGCGAATACGAGAAGTTTATGTAAGGCACAAGAGAAAGGACGGAGAGAAGGAGTCCAAAATTGCGTGTTTGTAGATTCGAGTCCGTGAATAACTATAGGTCCCATTCCCATCCCAAACCGTGGCCGGCGCCGGCCTATAACGCCTACCATGTATAGAAGAAGAGATTGAAGGAAAGAAGGAAAGTAACAAATCTAAGAGGTCCCGAGACATAGACAAAAAGGAAACCGTGAAAGTAGAAAAGAAAAAGAAAAACGTTTAAAAGATGGGGAAATGATTGACAAAGGCCAAAACACAGTTGCATCTATAAGGGTCCATGTGAAGTGGCAGCGTTAGGGAACTGAATCTTAGGACATTGTGAAGTGTAGAAGATAAGGAATAAATAGAGAAGCCGGGACGCCTTACCAGAAACGCCCTTATCCAACTCGCAACCCCTGCCGACGAACGCCAGGAAAGACGTAGTTGGAAAGACATTGGGGGAAGAAGAAAATAGGAAACAAAACAAAACCAGCCGATGGACACCGGACTCCATAAACCAGACTCTATATCCATATCCTCCGTAGAAAGCATTCGTGACTTGACAAGCCTTCATGTCCTGCATGCTGATAGGAGATGGCAAAATGGAAAGAAAGAAAAGAAAAGCAAAGAGAAATAAGCAACGGCAAAGGAAGCAGAGGCGGCAGGCTACAGATGAAGCAAGCCACCTCGAATCATTCTCGTTCTCCACCTCCTACGCCCTCCACCACTCATCATCGTCTTCCTCTTCCTCGTCCGCGGCAAACTGCATATGCCGCGCCGTCGACGTGGCCTGGACGTTGTCGTTGGCCGTTGTGGACAGCGGCGTGTGCACGACGCGGATATGCGTCTTTCCAAAGTTGTTGTTGTTGTTGTCGTCGTCGTCGTCATCAAAGCCGTAGTAGGAGTCGGTGCTGTCAAAGCCCTTTTGGTACACGTCGACACGGTCACAAAACGGCCGGTCCGAGAAAATAGTTCGGTCCTCGTCGTCGGCGCCAATGTCCAGCTCTTCGCCCAGCGAGCGATAACGGGCTTTGCTAGACAGGCGGTTGCCCCCAAAGGGGAAGAGGCGGCGGCCACGGCGCGACGACGGGCTGCAGTACGTCCGCGGCTGGTCCTGGTTGCAGTCGAGCACGGGGCTGTGGCTCTTGCGGTCCGTCACGTTCATGTGCAGCGCCGACGTGCCCTTTTTGAAAGTGGACCGCGTGGTCTTCTTGCAGGCCGACCAGGCGGCGCTGGTGGCCAGCTTGGCGTGGGAAAGCGAGGAGGAGACGATGGCCGTCGCTGTCGACGACGACGAGCCCGAGGACGACGAGTTTGCCGATGAGTTTGCCGACGACCATAAGGAGGGCGACCCGCTGCCGTGGCTTTGGTGACTTTTGCTGGTCGAGCCGGTGCCGGCCGGCTTGAGCATAAAGGATTTCATGGTTGGAGAAGAGTACGAAACAAAGAAATATGCAGTTGCAAGAAAAGATGTTGAGCAAGGGCCAAAAGTAGAGAGTCGTGATCGTAGCGTCGTAGAACCGTAGATTGAAAGATATATCGTAGATGAGAGAACGAAACGAGTGGAAATGCTTGCCTCTGACCGTGCAAGAAAACGAGTGACTGAAGACGAGAGAATCTTCTAAAATGATAAATGCAGAAAGTCGCACAGTCATAAATGCTCTGATCTCCTTCCTTTATCCTCCTTAATGCAATCGACGTGTCTGCTTTATATATACTTCGATCACGAAACACGCTATACACTCCTTGCCCTCGATTCCGACGTTCTCTTCCCACACAAGTCGTTAAATCGAAAGGTATGCATTCCTGCGTTGCCCGCCTCCCATCAAAGCCTTTAAACCTTCCTCCGCCTCTTCAAGCACTTTCTCTGCGACGGCCAGCCAGCCGACCCTATGCGCGCGCCACCCAAGACTGTTTTACTCGGCGGTTCTTTGCCTACCTTTGTCTGCCATGCTCGTCAGCGCTGCTCACGCGTCTATTGGGTGGATCGAGCTGAGTGCGAATGAGTGGCCCGCTCGTTGATGAGAATGTGGGAGGCTGCTGCATTCCACAGCGAAAAGGGGCCCACTGGGGAAAACTGGCATATGACGCCAAAGACGCACAAGACATCCCAAAGTGAAGGGGCTGTCCCATTCCACACAGGCGGTCCAGCCTTTGCAGCGGATTATCTCTGGGCTCCTGTGTGTGGTCGACTGTGATTTTCTGTGTCGACATGCGCACGCTACAAAAGGGCCCAGCTCTGAAACGCGAATTGAGGCTATGGGCGATGTCGAGTTTCATTCCACGTCTTGACTGCCGCGCGGGAAAATGCAAACTCTTGCGACATGCGACGTAATACGCCGTGCCATACGTCGATTAATCAATTTAAGGAGTGCCTGCCAGCCTCTTGTCATTGCATTCAATGGCGAGTTGCATGTTTCAATACTAGCCACGTCTTTTAGAATAATGGTCTTTATTTCGAAACAAACCTTAGTGCTCTATTGAAACAACGTAAAACAAATCGGATAGTGTCGGATGTCAGGTCTCATGCCAACTCTCACTCAAAGCTCATCGTCGTCGTCGCTGTCCAGTCTGCCGCGGCCTCTGGCCGTCCCGTTGTTGACCCGAGCATCGCCGTCCTCGTCCCCTTCGTCGCTCTCTTCCTGTTCGTCGGACATAAACGGCACAAATGTAAAGTGTAGCCACTGCATGTTGTTGCCGCCGCCGCTGCCGCCTGCGCCTCCGCCGGCTCCGGTGCCTGGTCCTGCTGGGCCTGCTCCTCCACTGCCGTGCTCCATCTCCACCATGAACTGCAGACTCAGCACCCCCTGCTCGTCGCCGCGGATGCTCACCTTGCTTGCCAGCCGCATCGCCTCCGTCGCCGACTTGACCAGGTCAAACTTGAAGCTCTGCGACCAGCGCTCGCGCACCGAGATCGACTCGAACAGGCTGCGCCCGCGCGAAAAGTCGACGTTGGCGCTGCCGAGGGGCCCGTGGCTGGACAGCCGGAGGTACGGCTCGCGGGGGGTCACGGTGAGCGTCAGCAGGTTGGGCGACGCGGGCGCAAGTTCAATGAGCGCGTCGAGCAGCCAGCGGGGCTGCATAATCATTTTGAAGACGAGGTTGTCGCGGTCAAAGGGGATGGCCTCGAGTGCCTCGGGCACGTACGTCGCCAAGTTGCACGTCGTCTTCACGGACGCTTCCTCCAGGATGATGCCAAACGGTGCGCCCGCTTCGGCGTACGAGATGCTGCACGTGCCCGGCATGCCTAGGATCTGATGACTGAACGCGTCGGGCGCCTGCTGCCGTCCAGCGCCCGTCGGGCCAGAGCCTGCGCTGCCGCTGTTGTTGCTGTTGTTACCACCTCGCTGAGTACGATACCCGTCGGGGTCTTGCTTGATTTGTCGCGAAGGTGCATCTGTCACACCAAAGATTTGTAGGGCTTCGAGGAAGGCAGGCAGTGAAATCTGGAACGTTGCTGGGAGGGGCTCGTCATCCTCCCCTTCTCCCGCATCATCGTCGTCGTCGCCACCGGCACCTCTGCCTCCGCGGGGGAGATGAAGTGAGTATGTTGCAAACATGGAACGGCCAATCGATGCCATGCCTGTCAATGTCAGCATATGTCGTGCCCAATAAATTCCAATTGTCGTAAGCACGCCTGGACGTACCCTGCATGACACGTGTGTGGTCTGCAATGAACTTGATGCCGTCGTCCGAAATCTCCACATGCACCTTGTTGGAGAAACTGACGCAGCGCAGCAGCTGATAGATTGGTCGGGTCGAGGTGGCCATCGCCCGGAAGAGAGGAGGCGCTGGCGTCTCCATTGTCAATGTGGTGTTGGTCGAGCTGTGAAAGAAGAAGTAACAGTGGTCGCTGAACTCAGACGAGACGAGAAATAAAAGCAAGCAAATGCGGTAGATAAACTAAGATGCGGCAGAAAACGCAACTGACAGAAAACGAAAGACACGCAAATATCAACAACGCCGCTTTATATCAACTAGGACACAGTGCTTTTATTATTTTGTCGGTTGGATATCCTTTCCCTTCTCTTGTATGGCCTGCTGACCGTGTGGATAAGGCTCTGGCCGTTGCTTTTCAAAGATGACTGTCGAAACGTCTACACGTAGACTCCCACCGCACAGAACATGTAGACAACACCGAATCTAGAGGAGAGGATACGTCAGTAGTGAGCCCTAAGCAAGGTAGGGTTACGGAGCCAATCGTCATATGCTCGAAACGTACGCAACTGCCAATGATGCAGGGAGGCCGAGATAGCTGATGCTGGCGAGTGTCCGGTCTGGAGAATTGTTAGCTGGTGTTGCAGGGCCACAAATCCATCACACTTGGTCAACATACTGAGCAGGAAGCTGCCCGTCAGGCCAAGACCAAGGACCAGCAGTGAGAACCCCACGAGGAACTGGCTTCCCTTGCCGATAGTAGGATTGAAGGGACTGCCTGACGCAGTTTGCCAGAGCTCCTGAAGCGAAGAATCCATGTATTTGGATGAGGTGGGTCGCGAGAGGGTATGGGAGAGAAGGCGCGTTGAAGAACGTGAGAAGTCGGCCGAAGTGGGAGGGTGAATGCGAGGACGATGTTGGGAATGTGAAGTCGAGGTTGAGGTTGAGGTCAATGGGACGAAGCTCGCCAGGGGAAGAGGCCAATGGTCAATTAGAGCAACGGTAGCTTTAATGCGCGGCGCGGCTTGAATGGGAAAGTACACGTTCACGTCTAAAAGTGGATTAGCGCATTTGATTCATGTTCCTTCCATTTTGTGTTCGTGGGTGTTAAACAGTTTCACGTGATGTGCTTAGTCATTCAACGCTGAGGGGCACTGGGGCGTTGCTCTTTACGCCACCCAGCTGTATCTTTCATTTTCACAAGCTTAACCGCAATGACAGAAATCAGGCGCTCAACCGCCATCAGTTCCGATGCAACCAACCATGGAGTCATCAGAATTAGACACGGCAGACACCGTCCCCAACGTCGAAGAGAGTATGAGCACACACTTATTGTCATTCCCGTCCCTCTTTTCCTCACTTGCTGATCATTGAACCGTTTTAGATGCCAAACGCAAGGCAAGCGAAGCACCGACGTCACCGTCCGAAGCAAAGCGGATCAAGCGCAGCGACTCGACCGAAGCGGCTGGTGTGAACGAGGTGGCCGACTCGATTGAGTCCGCAGCAGACGCGAAAGCAAAGTTTGCCGACGACGACGACGACGACGACAGCAATGATGCAACAAAGTCCAAAGTCGAGAACGGCGCTGATACCAGCGCTCTGGCCGGTGACGAGGCCATGGACACCGACGAAAAGAAAGAGGACGGCGATGCGGCCGACAAGGATGGCGACGACAGAAACGGAGACGACAAGATAGACGCCACCGCAGACGACGGCGACAGCACAGAAAAGAAGCCGCCCGCACCGGTCGAGATGAAGCCCATCCCGTTTCCCGAAAAGCCCGCCGTCATCGAAGAGCGCAACGGCGACATCGAGTTCCGCGTTGTCAATAACGATGGCGCCAAGGATAGCTTTATCATCCTGACCGGCCTCAAGTGCATCTTCCAAAAGCAGCTGCCGAAAATGCCCAAAGACTACATTGCGCGCCTTGTCTACGACCGCACCCACTTGTCGATTGCCATTGTCAAGAAGCCGCTCGAGGTCGTCGGCGGCATCACGTACCGCCCCTTTCGCGACCGCAAGTTTGCTGAAATCGTCTTTTGCGCCATCTCGTCCGACCAGCAGGTCAAGGGCTACGGCGCGCACCTCATGTCGCACCTCAAGGACTACGTCAAAGCCACGAGTCCTGTGATGCACTTTCTGACCTATGCCGACAACTATGCTATTGGCTACTTCAAGAAGCAAGGGTTCACGAAAGAGGTGACGCTCGACCGGTCCATTTGGATGGGCTACATCAAAGACTACGAGGGCGGCACGATTATGCAGTGCACGATGCTGCCACGGATCCGGTACCTCGAAATGGGCCGCATGATGCTGAAGCAGCGCGAATGCGTGCAGGCCAAGGTCCGCGCCTTCTCGCGGTCGCACATTGTGCACCAGCCGCCCAAAGAGTGGAAGCCGGGGCCGGACGGTGTACGGCCCATCGACCCACTGACGGTCGACGCGATCCGCGCGTCCGGGTGGTCGCCCGACATGGACGAGCTGGCGCGGCAGCCGCGGCATGGCCCCAACTACAACCAGCTTCTGCACCTGCTCAACGACCTGCAGAACCACCAGAGCGCGTGGCCGTTCTTGGTCCCGGTCAGCCGCGACGATGTCGCCGACTACTACGACGTGATCAAGGAGCCCATGGACCTGAGCACAATGGAGTCCAAGCTGGAAGCCGACCAGTACGCCACGCCCGAGGACTTTATCCACGACGCCAAGCTCATCTTCAACAACTGCCGCAAGTACAACAGCGAGAACACGCCCTACACCAAGTCGGCC